AATTTTTTGGTTTCCCAGTGCATATAAAAGTTATGTTTACACTATACTGTAGTCTATTAAGTGTGCAACAGCATTATGTCTAAAAAAACAATGTACATACCTTAATTAAAAAATACTTTATTGCTAAAAAATGCTAACCATCATCTGAGCCTTCAGCGAGTCATAATCTTTTTGCTGGTGGAGGGTCTTGCCTCAATTTGTAAAAAACGCAGTATCTGCGAAGCGCAATAAAGCGAAGCGCAATAAAATGAGGTATGCCTGTATATTTTTGCAAAAAAGTATAGTTTGTACTATATATAAGTAGCTACAAAAGTGCTGCTTAAAAGTGCTTTTATGAAGTACCTGTGCTAAAACCCACAGCAATTTCAAAAAGGTAAAATACCTTAATTCTGGACAGTACCCATAGTAATTTGCCTATATGTAAGTTATTACAGGCATGTTCATTTCAAAGTCAGTGTTTTCAGATTTACTCCTTACTTCCATGCGTTTAGGGAGAGCAGGGTCTGACAGTAAGGGGGAAGAGGCTGCAGGAGGAAGAAGTTGGGGGGGGAGGCGGCAGAGGACAAGCTGGCCACCTAACCCTCAAAATTTTATTTTCCCTGCTGTAGCAGTGGGAGGGGACAAATTCAAGGCAAACCTGCAATAATTAAATTCTATACCTGCAAAATTATAACAAATTTATACATTTTCCAGGTATAAAATTTAATTCTTGTGGTCATCTTGTATTCAGGGTTATCTTATATTTAAGTAAATACAGTAGCTCAAAACTCCAAAAAAAAAATTCTAGCTGCAATAACAGTAGGAGAAGAGAACAAGTCACAATAGGGCAACAGTTTTCAACCTTTTTTAATAAGTATACCCCCAGTGGGCAAAGCAGAGGTGTGGTGAGCGGCGGCAGCTGTGAGGCTGTGGCACGGGGTGGTGGCGCTCCATCCCCGCCTGCCCCAGCGTATCCCCTGGAATCTTTCAAAGTATCCCCAGGGGTATGCATACCCCCCAGTTGACAACCCTTGCCATAGGGAATCTGTGGTGGTTTGCTTTTGGAGGTTTACTAAGAGGACAAGAACCTGTCTAGACTGCTTTAGAATAGTTGTTCTTAATAGGGGTGCACCGATACAGATTTTTTGGGTCGATACTGATGGCCTATTTTTAATTAGCCACATCAGCCGACATCAATCCAATTGCTTTCATGCATTCGGGCAGCTGGGAGAGCAGCATCCAGCAGTAAGTCTGTTGTGGGGGAAAGGGCGTGGGGGGTAGATCAAGGCCCCACAGAGAGGGAGAGAGTGGGGCAGGGCTTAGGATGGAGCCATGAGTGGCTTATTAGGGGGAAACAGGGGGTGGGGAGGAAGGGCGGTGGCTCATGCTGCTACACACATCCCAGAAGGACATGGGGGGCGTGTTCCCCCAAATCTATGTGTGGGGCAAGGGTGGGCTGCCGCTGTGGACTGGGGCCAGGAGTGGCACTGGGCTCTTCCTGGTGCAGGGGCTGGGCTGGGCTGAGCTCGGGGTGGGTGGTGGCAGCACCAGGAGGGGGACTACAGGGGGCTTCAGCCACCCCAAAATTCCCCGTAGCCTTCGCTTGGTGCCTCCGCCTGCCCCAAGTGCAGTCTAACCCTGCCCC